AAAGTGAAGGGTGTTGTGGTCGTAAATATGACTACAACAGTAAATAGCAAAATGTCTTCAAGATATCAAAATTTACAAAAGAATTGCTTTCAGTGTACTGTATCTTAAAATGCTGCAAAGTGTCTGTATCTTGAGATTTTATCTGGATGTTACGGCAGATTTCTTATTTTATATTTAGTGGCCCTAAGTGGAGTCTTATACTGTATACTGTATGTGCCATGGCGTCCATATGTCAAGGTCCCACTGTAAATACAAATTATGAAGCATTTATCGATCCAAAGTCCTTAATGAAGTCATCTGTAAACGGCCATCACGATGTCAGCAGATTAATCGCGAATATTGATTTTCAAAAATGCATCATTTATTCACAAAAAATGTTAGGATTCTACTCTAATTAACACAAAAACAAACAATTTATTAAAATAACGATCTGGATACAAAATTCTTTATTTTTTGTCACAAAATCTAGTGAGAGATTTTTATTCGATAGTTAATCTTCTTTATGTCCATGTAGATTTTATTTATTTATTCAATTATTCAAATACTGTGGCAACAAAAGCTTTATTAAATTATGGTGATCACGTGTTGCTTCAAACATAACCTATATAATATTAGGCTTGTTTTGAAAGCACTCCAAAAATCGGAGACACCAACTGTGTTTACATTTTCAGTGTCACATCATTTCTTTCCATAGATTTCGCATCTGCGGACTGGCCAACTTGGAAAAAATAATGTTCCCAGAATTCTCCGACGACGACAAAAGCAATCCCAAAGATGATCTGTTCTTGTCAGAGTTTGCTGCTGTTTTCAGAAACAAGTCGCTGTCACCAATGCTCCTGGAACTCGTGGACAGCTTCCAGCAATTCGTGGTGGACTGTCAGTACTTGAGTACCGACTGCAGAGAAATTGAGTACTGTATACTGTACTATAGGAATCTTGACACATTTGAATTTCCTGAAGTGGAAAACGGAGTAGCCTCATCAGCTGCATGCTGGTTTGTGTTTCAGGCAATTCGTTCCCGAATTTTACCCATCTTATGGGGTCTGCTACACGTTCAACAGGGTAGCTGAGGAAGAGGATTTTGGAAATGCCAAGAAATCTTTCCGCACTGGGAGTTGGGCTGGTGAAAAAATTGTCTTACTTAATTTAATTTATTGAACGCCTGGAATTATTCCAATAAAAAATTAGGCATGTACTGCATATAGATATTTGTATACATATTTCAATGTGCCAGCCAGCTATTTCAACAAAAGATTTTTCTGAAAAAAGTCAAATTTTCAATTTAACTTCCAATATTTGTTTCAGAGAATAAGTGAATGTTCTTCCTTCAGAGTAATCTACTTCAGTTTCCATCATTTCCAACAAAATAAGAAGAATTCCAGTACTATGAGCAATTTTAACATGCCTTACATATGTGCTGCTTGAAGAATTCATAATGAAACTTATTCACAAAGCTAGCCTTTAAAAATCAGAAATAGTTCTGATATTCACAACATATATGGGTTAAATTTTGTGCACTAACTTTTAAAGTTATTTAGTATCTATAGGTGCCAATCTGACATTCAATGTTGAATGTCAGGTATTGGACCAGAAGGTAAAATTGAATAGGGGAAAAGAAGTTTCATTGTTTGTCACTTTTATCTTTAAAAATTTTTATTAAATCTAAATACTTTTTTGGTACAAGTGGTAAAGTGTAGATTATGTTTTTGGCTCACTTCTGAAGCAATATACAACAAGTTGTACCTTGCAGATTTGACCACCTGCAATTTTGCTGTCCCAAAATTTGATTGGAGGTCAACTTGCAATTTGACATAGGGCCCCACAATTGGCCCCACAGAGATGGGCAAAAACAACAAATACAACGTAGAAAACATTGCATTTGATGATGCTTTGCAATTCAACCACTTTGCAATTCAACCCTGGTTCAGAAATGGATTAGGGTAGAATTGTGGGGCACCATCTGTACACAGTTCATGCAATTGTATGCACTATTTATAGATTATCACCCTTTTTAGAGGCAATTCACATAATTGTAGAGCATATGTAAATTGCCTCAAAAGTATCACTATAGTTCAGTCTTTCTGTACTTTTCCTTCAATGACAATAAAGTCAACCTTTGCAAAATGAACTTAATTTGTGCAACGGACTAGTCTGATGTGTGGAAAGTCTGTTATGCAATCCCAATTCTTTGAAAGTTAAACATATTTTACCTGTAATTTTAAACCAATAGAAGTAAGTTATGTGGATTTAGCCACTTGCTCAGGAGGGAAATTGTAGCCTGTTGTGCAAAAATCCATTGCACAGGAGGTGCATTGTGCAGGGGCAACTGTACTAAAGAAGTTAGTGGTTTGCCATATAATGCTTCTGTTTTACTTCTTATGCACACAACATGCATTGGGCATTATTTCAGGCTGATCATGAAAATAGTTTCCCTCATGAAATTGTAGCAACAAAATTGCATATTGTAGTCATATGGTTCTGATTACCTTTGAACTTGCTCTTAAATAGACACTTCTATAGTGCACTCACTCAAATGGCATTATGCTCTGATTTGTTCCATATAGTCAGGAACAATGCACATGGAATATACATTATCTTTTCCTCCTTTGTATGTCACAATAATGTGTGTTGACAGTATGACACCAATCCAAAGTGGCTTGCAAGTCCATATACATGACCTTGTTTGGTAAGTATAAAAATAAATATGGGATCCCTGTACAAAGAACTTATTGTTAAGAATTTGTCTATTGATGCTGCTGTCTCTGTGCATGTTGCACATGCCTGTACCAAATCAATGCATGTTTACAAATAAAGTATTTTTATTAAACTCTTGGAAGTGTTTCCTGAACTTTCAAAAGAATGCTGAAAACAATTGATATTTTTGCATAACTCAGTTACTTAAGAGGTGAGATTATAATTTTTAATATTTACTGAAAGTAGATCTGGTTGTTGATACTGATCAAAGTTATTGTGCTTCATTTCAGTCTCTCAAGAAAAAAACATGTTTGATTCAGAATTTCAGATTGAAGCCAACTATGTTTTGACTTTGAAGTGTCTAAAATTCATCGTGAATACACTTTCAGGAATGACTTTGGAATTGCTGTTCAATCAGATTGACTATGTTCCAACTGCTGTGGCTGCTGGAGCTGGAGCAAGGGTAGCAATCTCTGATCCAGGCACTTTGCCAGATCCTGCAGATGCTGGACATTACATTCAACCAAACACTGAAACTGATTTCACCCTCAGTTTGTCCACAATTTCAAGGTTGAAAACCCCTTACACTTCAGCATGCTGGGACAACTGGGATGAATCCCCATTCAAGCCGCTTTTCTTTATGAATGCTACTGATCCTGAAACAAAACCAGTTGTCAAGTACATTCAGAAGGTATATAATTTTACATATCTCAAACTTTCAGAAAGCTATAATAGGTATACACAACCCTGACTTATCCTTAGTAAACAAGATTGAAATATTACACTTTTGGAGGTTCTTTCATTCTTAGAAAGTCCCAGCAAACACTTATGAAATACTTCCACTAAGGACCACAGGACTCAGTCCATGACTGTTCAGGAACTGCCTTCTCAAAATTCAGAACATAATTTTATGACTTCAATCAAGTTCCACAAAATTATTACATCAAGTCAGCAAAGTTTCCAAGCACACCAATACTAATCCCAATTATACTGAGAAATAAGTTAGTCAAGTCTAGGTATTGTATCATTATTTGTGGTAAAACAGGTGGGAAGGAAACTTCTTGGTATTGAGGCTATTGAAGCTTTTTAGAACTCTATACTGAAAAGTTACTTGGAGTCATCATTCTGCTGGGAAACTGGATCATACATCAATAAATGATTTGTATCTTGAGTCCTCAAAATTAATCAAAAGCAATCCCTGAATATTCTGCCTTGATCCTGGAAGTTTCTGCAAGCATGCTCCTTTGAAACTATATTAATTATTTAATTTTTTAAGTGATTGGAATTTAAATTCACCTTTTTTGCAATAAATCAACAGAAATTAAAATTTTGATGTCATTCATATATGATGTAGGCCAAAATTCTTCAACTTTTCAAGGCCATTTTTCAATTTCTCCGGATGCATTTTTCATTTGTTAAGGAAGTACTGTACAGAATAATTTTGTTACAAAAAACTCCCAGCAGGGACCTGATGAAAATTTATGATAATAAAAAGTTTGTTGCATCAGGATTCATGGGTTTTAACACATTTTACAGTTCAATTTTGTGGAAAATGGATCATGAATACTTTGAAGTGCTTCCAAAACCAGGAATTGAAGAGCTACCATGATTTGTAGGTACTATTGTGATTGAATGGAGAGAAAACTTTAAAAATAAATACTACATTCCTTTTGTTAAACATGCCTTCGTACCAAAGTGTTGATGGTCTTGAAAAATAAAACTGAATAAAATCACATGTGATAAAAATACTTTACTTCCGCCTGAACCATCTTATTGTTCATTCATTCCTACCTTTTCTTCCAAATAAAGAAAACAAAAAATCTAAAACCCTGTTTATTTGAAAGAAAGCCATAAATTCTAAACTGGAATTGGAAAATTTCTGAGAAATGTTGTTGAGCATTCTTGACAACCCATTTCATCTAAAATAGTTTTGCTTTTTTGTTAACGTTGGAATGTTGCACCATTTCAGTTTTCCTCCTTTTATAGTGGCATTCATCAAATAATCCGCAGACACTTATGCACAGAATTAGGCCAACAATTTGTTATATTGAGATTACAGCCTAAAATTAGTTTGTTGCAACAAGATTTTATGACATTATGCTCATGGAAAACTGCCAGGACCAAGACAAAAATGTGTCCTAGCAAAATAAATTTTACAACAAGATTCATTGATGTAACAGAATTCTGCTGTACAGTCTTTTACAAAGGCAAGTATTATATTAAAAAATTTGCAATCCAGGTGAAATTTAATTTACAAAAAGTTAATGCTTTTTGCATATTTATCCTGCATGCACAACTATGACAGGAATGCAACTCAGCTTGTGAATTACTGACAATGCTAAGGACATGCAACTGCAGTGATCCCTTCTACACACGGCCATTCATTCACAAGGGGGTTTTGTTGAATGATGAAAACGCACCAGTCTGCAGATACGATTCAGGTGAAAAAATCAAACATTTCAAATTCAAAAGCCGTTTCATCTATATTTTCACTGCAATAAAAAGAGAACAAATCATAAATTTTAGTAATATGTGTGCTTGAACCTGATGTTCACTCCCTGTGGTGATCTATATCAAAGTCGATAATTTATTCAGCTTTTTAAAAAAATTGCGCAAACATTTATTTGAGAAATTTCTGGAATGTTTGGAAAAATAATTTGTAAAAATTCGGGTGTGTTCGAGATTTTTTTTTGTTCATCGGAATTTAATATTTGCTTGCTGTACTGAATTATAGTTCGTGGAAAATATTAATATAATCTCAATCCAAAAATGTTCAAAGCATAATTTGATTATTTTCCAAAGCTTCTCATAATTTTAGATGAATTTATATGAAGTCTTCAATTTTAATAAAGGGTTATCTATTATACACTGGAGTTGAATATAGGAAAATAAAGTGCCAACCTCAATTACAGTCTCAAAATAGACATTCTGCAATTCAAGTGACTAAAAAATGCATTTTGCAGAGAATATTTCTTTGTAGACATAATCCTTGTAGAGAGTTATTCCACCTGCATTATAACAGCTGCATAATTTTTCTTTTTCTTTTACAATGTCAATAGTTGAGTCTGAAAATTGCGTCATTGATGTGCTGACTGCTCAGGAATCAGATCACAGCTTCGGCTGCTATTGCAATTTACCTTGCAGGCAAGTGACAAACTTATTAGAAAATTTGATTTTATTTTTCAAAAAAAATGTTCTCTGTATTTTTCTTGAAAAGCGAGAGCCAGTACCAAGTCAAGACTTCTAGCTCTGAGTGGCCATCATTTGTCTACTTTGTGAGAATATTTTCGTGATTTCCAAAAAGAAATTGAAGTTTGAAATCCCAGCAGTCATTCTGAAAATTTGCAGGAGAAATTGTTCATAAAATATGGAACCCTCATCACTGAGATGGCTGGCAGCAATGCAAAAAGCGACGAAGAAAGAAGAAGCATTTTGTCAAGGGAATTTGCCAAAGTCAACATATATTTTGAAACTTTGAAGGTGGAAAAAATTCAGGAGGAAGTCAAATATGATGTGAGTGGGTCTCTGTATACTTCCATTTTATCCATTTTTGGCACAATCTGGATTTTTATGAACTTTGGTGAAACTGCCATGTTTTGTAACAGCAACAAGATGTCTCTATACTGTAAGATGTTGAGTATAGATTTTAATTATGCTGTAATCTGAGGGTTGAATGTTGAACCAAAAATATGTCCTGGACAAAAAATAAAAAAATAAATAAAAACTGTTGCAAATTTGTCCAGCCGTCAAACCACCAGTGAAAGCCTTTCATCACAAGTGTTACTTCACTATATTGCAGTACAAGAAACACCAAGGGGACAATTTGTGAACTCATGCCCAGTGCTGCCCAAAATACATCCCATATGGCCCAGATCTGGCTAGCAAAGACTCTTCACATGTCCCATGGTCCATATCCAATAATTTCCCAGGCTGCAGCCACCATTATTCAATATATATATACAGTGGCCCCCCGCCTAACAGACCTCCCGTGTAAGGGATTTAGTCTAACAGACTCGTCCCTTGCACAAATCAAGCCCGTTAGACGGGGGTTGACTGTATATATTTCAAGATGAATTTAAAATTTCAAACTATTGCTCCATCCTTCAAAAATTCTTTATAACTATGCTTTTGGTTCAATATATGGCATTGATCTCAATTTGAAACTTTTCATTTAAAAGATGGAAATTTGATCATCAAGATTTATTGTCTTTTGTGGTCCATGTATAGGAACTCTCTATATCTCTACAATGTTTCCCTTGATGGTCACAAAAAAAAAAGCATTCATGTGTCCCTCTAGCCACCCATGACTTGGGGAGCATACTGCTACATATACATATGTAGCTTCTCTCCAAAAGGCAAAAAAAAATAACAAAACAACTTTTTCTGTCTTTTTCCAATGCAGTTCTCAAAAACACTCAGTGACCTTGGAGGAGCCACTGGTCTGTACTTGGGAATATGTGTGGTTACTTTTCTGGAAGTGCTGGAACTCTTGATGTCAATCTGTGGATCTCTTCTGAGACCAAAATGGCTGCACTCATCAGAAAAGGTTGAAGATGCTGCTGCTGAAAGAACCATGGCTGGCAATAATGCCAGGTCAACACCACCCTTCTATCCAAGAAATCCATTGGAGAAATCCTTCAAGAATTCCTATGAATATCTTCAGTCCCATCATATTTGAGACAGTTTTGTGGGATATTTGTAATTTACTTGCACACATTTGTTCATATGTAAAATTTGAGCTTTGGTCTTGATGATAAGAATACACAATCCCTATGCTTCTTATTTCTGCATAATAAGTCATCATAATCTATGAAAATCCCTTTCTCATTCAATGTTGAGTTTTTTTTTAATCCAGCAATTGTGTCATTAATGGAGGGAATCTTTTGATTAAATGAGATCAAATTATATTCTCAGCATTGATATGTGTGCTTGTGCATAATTGCTGAAACAGTGATTAGTTCATATAGTTTTTTCATCACACATGAATCTGGATCTTGAATATTTATTGTACATTATTGTTATGTGGAAAAACAGTATGAGTTATACAAAGCAGCCTTACATAAATTAATGAACAAAGAGCCTTTACGGACACAAGCAAGAAAGAAGGATCCGATTGGAAAAAAGTTGTGCTTTTACTTGTTCAGAAAGGTTGTTGTTGACTAAAAGTATCCAACTTCACCCTGAGGACATAAACCCCTTTGTATAAATTTCGACCCAGCTGAGAACAAGGGTTTTCATTTCTTTCTGGATTTTCTTTTTTCCTTTAGCAAATCTGGGAAAGCTTTGAAGTTATGTGGGCTTCTGTATTTAACTTTTTAAAATTTTTGATCAAGGAAGCACAAGCATACATCTTTCAAGAAAAATCTGATATGTATCATCTGTACAACCATAATAATAACTTCATGAATTCTGGCTTAAGTGCCACTTTAGAGGATCATGGTTTTTTTCTAATATGAAACCATGATACTCAAAATTTTCATTTAAAATGTATGCAACTGTATGAAAACTGATAAATAAAATTTTTTATTTCCTGAATCCTGAGCATATGATGGGCAGTAATAATATGCATGAGTTGGTTCTTATTAAATACAGTATACAGTACTGTATATCACTATTTGAGTCTTGTTTCTTATCTTATCTGTTTGAACCATATGAGAAGTTCATACACTTTGCAGCTAGGATAGACCAATGCAATTTTGTTAATAATGAGATCTGTCTCTCATATTTTTTGAAATCACCTTGATATGCTGAAAAATCAGTGACCTTAACTGATTTTCAATAAGCAAAAAAGTACTGTATCTGAAGAATTTGAGCAGAAAATGTACATGCAGTATTATATGGTTTATTCTAGAAAGTACACAATATATAGTATTTACCAATATAAGTGTAGGAAAATAACACAGAGGGGCTTTTGAGCATATTTTCCAATGCTGCAAATGTCCTCAAATAATCAATTTAGGTTCAGATCCATCAAAAAAAAACCTTGAAAGTTCAGCGTTTCAGCCTGTGTCATAGTTTAATTATCAAGTAGGCGTTTTCTTCCTATAGTGGTCATGAAATAGACTCACAGCCATTATAAGAAATTTACAGTTGGAAAATCTGTGCTCGAATGAAATTACTGTTCTGTATGTAATTATTTCGCCATTTTAATCTGAGCTTATCCCCTATTTTGAGGACATATATATGCACTGCTTAAAATGTTTTTGATTTTCTGGACTGGTTTATATACAATTATGTGCACATATAAAGTTTATATATACAGTCAACCCCCGTCTAACGGACTTGATTTGTGCAAGGGACAAGTCTACCTTACACGGGAGGTCTGTTAGGCAGGGGGCCACTGTACAGTATATATTATATGCTGTGTGCCACATGACGCAGAAGTCATACTATGATCTTTGACCCTGCATGATGGTGCAAGCTGGTGCGTGATGAGTTCACTGAAGTTATTCCTGAAAACTGCAGAGTCATACTTTCTGTGGCTTTGTTATTCCTGCTGTGTTCAGTGAACCAAATGATGAACGCATCAAGTGCATGTGAGCTATGCTGAAGAAAGTAAAGCCAACATACAGAAGCAATTTCATGCAAAGAATTATATCTTAAGTACATTAACCTGATAACTCTTGAAGGTACACTGTGTATTAAGCCTTTCTGAAACAATTTTCTGCTCAAATTTGCTTCTCATATGATATATTGTATACTGTATGCCAGTGTTTCAGCATCAAGCAATCAGCAGTGAGATCAACTTACAGTATACTAGTACAAGGAGCCAATATATACTTGCTCTTATTTTTTCATGGATAATTTGTTCAACTTATCAATCACAATATGACCAATTTTGCGCATATTTCAAAAGCTTGGGGCATTTTTCCAAAGCAGCATTTATGAGAACACATAAATTCCTGTATATAAATAACAAACTCTTGTTGAAACATAAATGTGACATGTGTAGCATGTACACATCTGACAAAATTTTGTACATTCTGAGAATTTGAGCTTGCTCAAAAACACCCATATTGGCACAGCCATTGACTATGGGTGTGACATGATCAAGGTGTACTGCCTATACATGCCCATGGCTCCTAAAAATCACCCATATTCAGAAGAATCACCCATATCCAGACAATAACCATGATATACAGGTGGGATACCAGTGATTTATATATGCCTGTCTTTATATGTCTGGCTGCAAAATGGCTGATTATTTGCTGGGCAGTATGCAGAAGAGTACTGTATAGTCTTCTGACACATCTTTCTGAGGGGATTTTTTGTTCCAATATGAAATTGTTGACGTCACCCTAATAATTTGGAAAAATTTGCACTTTGAAGTGTACAAAGAATTATCATGTGTTTAATTTGATATGAGGTATAGGCCTGACTTTCCATGAAGAGTATATACAGTATATACTTGTAAACACAAGTACTGTATATACAAGCATCCTCTCATCTATAAATCTTGGCATTGGTCAGCATAATTGCAGAGAATAGGAATTCAGGAAAGCATCATATATGTTTGATAATGGATTCCAAGGTGCATATATAGATTCCAAAAAGGCCTATATTTTTTCCAGAAAATTGAATAACTTTTTATTGTAAATATCTGGTATACTAAATCATGATGAAAAATTAACTAATCTTACATACCATATATTCTCTAATAAAAAGCCCCTTGTGGCATTTAGTTGAAGCACAGTAAAATATTCTCATAACCAATACCATATATTACAACAAAATTTGCAGTATAAGTCTGTATAACAAGCTTGTTTCCAAGTCGCAGCAGAAATCCTATACAGTAGTGTGCATGTCACAAAAATCTCTTTACAACAAACTCTCCAATTCCAGTATAACAAAATATTTTTGAGTGACCCAATGAAATTTTTTTATGAAGGCAGGCTCAGTTTCAAATTCTCCATTCAAAATGTAGCTGTGACTATAGTTCTTGGGACATTAATGGAAGTAGGTGAAACCAAGGACACAAATATCTTTGAAATTCACCTGAGCATCCTCTCTTCCAATTTTTTTTATGGGTTAGGAAGAATTACAGGGGGGGGGGGTTAGAGAAAAAAATGGACCCAAAAGCTTAATGTCAAAAGGGGGTTTTGAATGCTTGTGAAACATACTTCACTGATGCCTGAACACTTTAAGCTTTTTTGGAACATCCACCCTTACAAATCTGTGCATAAATCGCTCTTAAAAACTCAAAGTCCACAAATAGTGCTAATTTTTGCCTGTTATTCAGAGTAAGACTTTTTATTGACATTTGGATTTATTTTTGAAGATCATCATGGAAGAGAAACATGGAAAAACATCTGAAAATTCCAAAAAGGAAGATCTTGAATATGTGCAGGTTTAAATTGAACAAAATAACCCAGTAATAAGTATTTTTGAAAATCTTATTACAACAAATTATTCATAACAACGAACTTTTCTGAGGTCCGCAAGAGTTTGCGGTAGCATTATTTTCCTCCATTGGACTTTTCAACCAGCAGCACATTTAATAGAGGCTGGTGCCTATACACTGCAGTATTATAGATACCATGTGCTTATTTACTACAATTCTGACTACACGGGAACAAGATCAAATTGAAAAAAGGGAAACCCCAAGGTTAAAGATACAAAAATCCTTCATGAAAACTTTTAATAATGAGACAGGAATGCTTAAAGAATTAATTATGGGAAACGATTTCTTTCTTCAGCTCTTATAAGTGGATCACAAGATTAATATATAATTCTCGGAATTATTTCCAACCCCCCCCCCTCCTTCACCGTCTATTACTCTATCTGACCCGACTATTATTACAGACCAGCTATCACTTTTTTCCAGTATTTATGAGACCCAGCCTTTATTAGGGGCATGCCTATGATATGGAAGACCATTAGTCGTTTATATATTTGAGAAAATACCCTGAACTGCATTAATCATCAACTGCTTCAACTCATGAGCTAAGACTGAGATGGATCGTAATACTCTAAATACCATTACGCTTTGGTTTAGGGTGATAATATCAAGAAACCCTACGTACCGCATACAGTAATGCTTTGGTAGAGGTCCGTGAAGGATCATATACAGTACTGTACTTCTTTATGATTATGTTCAGATCGTCCACCTTTTCTTGCGGGAGTGGATGATTTTACCCTCAGGCGGTGTGGTTGCGCCGGCATCCGCCGGAGTAACCCAGCAACAACAGACCTTCCTTCGCCGGAAGTGGGTGTTGAGAGCTTTGACCTGAAACAGGCAATTCGGGAAAGAAATTCGCGACAAAAGCCGGTTTTATGTACCGGAAAGGGGTTTTTAGAAAATAACTTCTGTGTGTCACTGATAAACAAAAGTTATACGCCCGCGACCAAGATTTCATGTACACGACAAACGTGGTTATACTAGTGAATTACGAATTAATGTCGCGTTATTCGCTTCTTCAAGCGCGGTGTGGTGCTCGCAGGTCAACACGTAGTCTGAAACCGAATTTTTCTACGATATGCTGTGGTTATCCGGAATTACTGCAGCATTGAAACGTGATGATCCATGTAATAATTTCTGCGTGCGTCGGATTTCTAGGATCGTCAAGTGCATTGACTGTTTTCATCCGTGCTACTGAAGAATCATGGATTCTGCAGATGCCGGAGGTAAGATTTCCTTTTCTCATTTTGAAATCTTCTTCAACTCATATGTCTGCTGGATACCTGGATTAATCAGATGGGGTGAGAAGGAGTGGAAGGAAGCGAATCGCGAAACGCTTAGATTCTCCGTCGCCTCCTCCTCCGAAGAGGCGAGGTCCAAGGGCTACCGGCAACGGACCTACGCAGAGCACGCCTGCTGCAAGGATTCCGCACGTCACATCTTCCGTCGTCTTGAAAGCTCGGCCTCCGCCCCATGCTGCAGAGAGCCCACAGAAACCAACCCTTGGTCGTAAGTCATTTCCTGAAATTGGTCTGAGATTTCCTGCTTCAAACGGAGGTTTCAGATGACGCCCAAAGGGATGGCGCAGTCGTTCGCCTGACGAAATCCACCAGACGTATCGAGGATGATCCGCGAGTAGATGAGAGCATTCGGCGGGAAATCGCCGAACTGAGAGCAGCCAACGATACACTGGCATCGAGTAACGGAGGGTACGCAAAAAAGATAAAAGATCTGGGAAGCCGACTGTCGAGGTTGAAAAAGAAGCTCGAAGACGGAGCAGATCGCGATTCCATCGAAGCTGTGGTTGCAAGAGCAAAGCAACTATTGAACTTGGTCCCCGCGATCCTTTTTTCAAGTCAGCTACGAAATTGCGGACGTCCTCCTGGATCCAGGAGATTCACTGAAGCTGATCTTCTGCTCGCCAATGCAATTCATCGTCAAAGTCCCCGTTGCTACTTGTTTCTTTCGAAGGTAACCCCGATTTTGCGTTCATTTGTCTTTGAGTAGTTCTTTCAATGATTTTGAAGTGATGTTCCTGGTTGCCAACCCATAGATGAGAATAATTGGATTGGTTAGTTTGATCAGGATCGGTTTGATTGATCGGCTCTTCGTAACGTCTGTATCTTATTATAGTCGTAGGGGTCTCAAATTAGGTTGATGAATAGGTTACGTTGTGACAGGATCACTGCATGATACTGAGTGAATTTTCAGAATGCCGTTATTTCGAAGTCTCTGAATACAGTGCTGTCTTTCTTCAAGGTCTTCGCCATGCCGGGTATCGACGGGTTGCTCAGGTGGGTCGCCGAACGACAAGTAACCACTGGAAAGCCGCTGGACAAAGATTATTACGAGCAGCACAACCTTGGCTACTTACTCGACGCCATCCCGTTCCAGAACGCCGCGAAGAGCGTGCGTAGGAAACCCAAGCCGCCCACTATTCAATACCAACGAAAGCCAGCGGAAAAAATAGAACCCGAGACACCCCCGGTGAATTCCGTACCTGAGCCCGATGTGGAAGACGTAGAGGGCAACGAAGAAGATGCCACTGTAGAGCAAATCGTGGATATGTCGAACACGAGCCATGTGCAGCCCGAAAGTGACGAAGACGATGTCCTCGATGTGGTGCGAGAGGTTCAGGACCTGGTCCAGGAAGTAACTGGGGTCGCCGAGGAAATCATTGATGACGATGGGGAAGACGCACAGGCGTTGACGATTTGAGTTCAAACTTTTTCTCTCCTTTTTTTACGAAGGCTACTTGTTAGAATGGCTCTTATATTTTGTATCGGAAGGGCGGATTGTTTTGTATTATCCGTGATTGAATTTTTGAGTCAGTGTTGTCCGTGTGCTTCTCAAGATCTGTCGCGATTTCTTCATTTTGTCTGAGTGGATTTTGGGTTTAATATATACATATTCGTTTCGCGTGGAAGTCCCTAGATTTTCACTCTTGAACATCATGCGGCTCATAAAGAGGTTTTCATCAGTTATCGCGTTGTGGATATTCTCTTTCCTTGGAAGAAATTACCGGTGTTCACTGAAATACTGTTTGTCACTCAAAGGTTTTGTGAACTGTCACCCTGATTTTTGCGAATGAATCCCTTCAGCCTGATCAGTTCAATCTGATTGTCGTTTTTGAGAGAAACTCGTCTAATTTTGCCTTCGCAAATTTTGAAAAGTTTTGCGTGGTATGCCAGTGAATACGGTGGTTTTGGTTCATGAATAAATGTTGATACTTTTGTTCATTTGTATTTTCAGATTCAAGAAGTGAATGCGCGAAACGGAATCCGTGTGGATCCCAATGATATTTTATTCTTGAAAAAAAAAAAAAAAAAAAAACGTGTCACTGACTTTTCGCGTGCAGTATTTCGTTCGATAGCTTCGAATTTGGCACTTGTAAAATGTCAGTTTCGATGGATGAGTTGGTCTAGCTGCAGTGTGTCATCAAACCCTAAACTTGCCGCTTATCTGTGTGTGGTTCGAAAAGGGTGCATATATCTTCCTTGCAAATGTCCATTTTCGCTTAGAGGAATAGGCAGCTTTTCCCCGTTAGATCTGTTTTCGTGTTGATACATTTTAAAAATCGAATAGTACACGTGTTAAAGAGGCGAAATGAAACCAGAGTATTCGATTGCAACGAAATATTCTGTCGGAATTTTGGAGTTGCCAGAACGTTTTTCACTGTGACAGAATGTGGGAAATCAGCCCACATGAAAAAATTGATCGGAGCTCAGTAAATGGGTTTATTGGTAAATGGTTCATTACTCTATTACGTGAAGCAATTCAATTTTTATAGCTCATACATTGTAGAAGTCAGATGTCAGGTTTTCGCACATGTGCTCATGTTCAATAAGTGAAGATTTGTTTTGTGCTGATCGATTTTATTGATCAAAGTGGGTCGAAATTCAGAAAGAGGCAGGTTTTTATGAATTTAACGTTCAATAGGTGAAGCTTTGAGGTGCGTTGATCGATTTATTAATTTAACATGGTGAAAATTCAGAGAGAAGCTGGATTTTATGCACAAACTGTTCAATAGGGGACGCTTCGATGTGTGCTTTGTCGATGCATTCCACTGAAGCATCAGCTGCACTTTCGATGCATTTTATTTCTGAAAACACAAGGGTTTGATGCTTACAGTAGAATTGTTCACTGTTCGCACAAAAGTGAATATTTTTGCTACGTTTGTGAAGCATTTGCGGATCGTTCGTGACGAAGAGTTCATGTGCCTCAAAGTTTCGTGTGAATGTTTCAGGGATGGGTTCCCGGAAAATTTTGGCCGCGTTCGACTTCGATCACACGGTGATCGACGGGAACTCGGACGTGGTTGTGATGGAACTTGGGGATTTACCCCCGGGGCTCAACAAACCCGCACCCGGAGTCGGTTGGACGGAATACATGGACTCCATCTTTGTGCATCTTTGGAAAAATCACGGGGTCTCGTACATGGATCTCATCAAACGCGTTCTTCAGGTCCCTTTTTCCGCTGGAATGCAGGACCTGTTTGAGTACCTCCGTTGTCATCAGGATTCTGTGGAAACGATCATTGTTTCAGACTCGAACACGGAATTCATTAATGCCGTGTTACTCGACCAGCATTTCTCGGATGTCGTGCGGAAAGTGTACACGAACCCTGCCCGTGTCGAAGATTCCGGTGTTCTTCGTGTGTCTCCGTATTTGAAAACGAAGCACAGTTGTCCCAGGTGCAACGCCAACATGTGCAAGGGTGATATAATCGAGAAACACCGGAAAGAAAGTGGTGCTAGTGCTGTGATCTACGTGGGTGACGGAAAGAACGACTTTTGTCCCGCCTTGAGACTGAAAAAGGGCGACGTTGTGTTTGCGAGACGCGGTTACGCCTTGGAGAAGTTAATCGAAAGTGGAAAAGAAGGCGGAGAAGTCGTGCATGCGGACGTTGTGATTTACGAAGACGCTGTGGATGTCAAGAAGGGAATTGAAGAGCTTTTGTTGTCGGCGTAGGCCATCGAAACTGTTTTCGCGCGATGAACATGTTCTCTCTTTACATTACCCTCGAGTTGAAACCAAAGGCGCCCGGAGTTCAGACACAAAATTTTTGGATATGCCAAAAATGTTCTTGTCGAGGGTGTCTTGAAACGTTGCTGTGCAGTGAAAATCGTTTTTGATTCAGGTAGTTTTTTTGTCTCCGTGACAAGTGGGAAATGTGTTTTCATTCTTTAGTGATTGATTCCGAGAACCTTTTTCAGTTCGCTTGGTACATTATTTATGTATGTCAGTTACCTGCCGAAAGAAAGATGAGTTTTTCGGTGATGTTATTGCCAAATTATGAGGGCCTCTTGCTTTTGCTTCTGGAAGTTATTTTGAATCATTTAATATCCATTCGAGGTTTTAAAGGCGCTCCTGAAGCTAAATATTTCATTGCGCAGTGACTTTTTAGACACCTTATGTCGTCCAACATTTTTATTCGTTTTTTAGAATTACAGAATGCGAGATCTACGGATACGCAACCCGAAGCTACATTTATATTTGCGTATGTATGAGTGAAGATGGCGCTCAAATCAAACGTTCTCTGTGCGATTTCCCATGGGGATTATAATCAGCATTGCTTGAATAACAACGTCATCGTCTATGTGGATTGATAATTATGCTTTGGAGCTGAATTCAGGCAAGGAAACTTGTATGGTGCTGCATCTTTTCGTTCAGTGGATCTGGAATGAATTAGGATGAATCTGAAAATTATGGAGAAAGGACTCCCTCTACACTGACCCTTTCTACAACAATTTTTCTGTTTGGACCCAATTTTTTTTTTTTTTTTTTTTTTTCCCCAGGGGTTTGCTATGATGAAATTCTCCCCACAACGAATTTTTTCTGGACCCTTGTTTTTATTGTGTAGAGAGAGGACGTTATTGCCGCAGGCTAATAAGAATTTGTGGTTGCTCGGAGCTGTGCATCATTGTAAAACCAAGTATGGTTGGTTGTCTACACTCTACAGTACTGCATTAGAGGATTACAATTGAAGAACAATCCTGTTCTGAACCGCATTACTGTTTGTTCCTGCTTTTTTTGCATGATGAAAGCGTTGGATACGAACATTATGACTGAAAAGTTGTTGAAAAGAGGTTACCACATTGGTGCTGAGAAGATTTTTGTATTTTTTTTTCAATCTTTTGAAGCTGCGTTCTTCCCTTCAAATTATTGATGAATATTTAAAGTCTTTTTTTTTTTCAAAGAACTGAAGGTTGTACAGTTGAAAGTAGAAAAACTCGAACCGCCTAAATAGGAAACCACCCTGTGACAAATTTATTTCAAGTCCCTATCTGAGTTCTTTGGAAGCAATGCAGTGAAAACCTGCGTGACTTGAATGCTTTTCCCCTCACACTACCATAACTCAAATTTTGTGGATGTCTTCTGGCCATAATTTCATAGACTTTGGAAAGAGGAATTCAGTAAACAAAAATGCGACGTGATGCATTTTGAAAGAAAGTGAAGGTCTATTTATGCAACTAAACCCTTGCCTTCAAGTTCAGTAAACTGCCAACTCATTTATAAAGCAATTCAAGTCCCAGATTATCACCATTTACAATTTCATGTAAATTGTCCTTTGTCCCAATGCAAATGCTTGTTTCACTACCTCCAATTTTTTTGCCGGTCCCTTGAAGTTTTACTTGGAGAGTTTTGACTGTGATTTCAAATAGCTCTAGAAGCTATTTCTGGTTTTGTGGCAAATTCTCAAAATATCATGTACAGAAGAAAATGTAGTTTCGCCACAGGAGGTCATGAAGTTTCATGTTTTTTGTAATTGGTTAATTCACATTAAAATCGTTGGATTTTCGATACTTCTTTGTTTAATACCTAGTTTTCCGCTGTATGAACTGTGTCCGTGACATGAGAAGTCACAAAATTATGTGCTTGACATACTTGTTATTATTGATACCGTAGCTGTGGTTTCGAATTCGTTTTACGATCACCCTTTGTGAAGAACGCAGCTTTTTTTCTTCTTCAGTTTCTTATGATGAATGCGCGAATTTGCAATTAATCTTGCTTATTGATTGATGAACTCCTTTCTTTTTACAGAAATCATTTTGACGAAAGACAAATAATTCAGGGTTTCCCGTTTTTATGGCGCTGTGATCACTCCTGTGTTCGTGTCGGGTTTCTTGGTGAAATGAAGCTAAGATTGGAGATTCTCGCCGTTTTGGCGACGCTCGACTGGGTCCGAGTTGAAGCTGGTGCCGCGTTGGAGCCATTGCAGGAAATCTCCGATCACAAAGACTTCAAGAAGATCCTGAGAACCAAAACCAATGTCCTGTTGCTGTTTGTGGAGTCGACGCGAAGTGCGAAACCCCTGATCTCCATTTGTCAAGACGTGGCGTCGAAGGTCAAAGGCTCTGGCAGCATTTTTCTCGTCAACTGTGGAGGGTGTGTAAAACAAAAAGAAGCTATGCTTATGTGTTATCGATCTTCATGTGTATTTTTTTCTCTTTCGAAATCGTTCTAAGAGTAACGGGAATCAGTGAGTTTTTTTTTTTTTAAGTTTACGTTTCATCATAAAAATTGTGTAGTACAGTTTTATGGCTGTATAAAAATTCGATTCTTCGAGTCGAATTTCAAGGTGCCAGGAAAAAAACAAAACAGAAATCGTTCCTGTCTTTCGTCAAACAGTTGCTGTAAGTAAGAAATTCGTACGAAGTACTGTATAATTAGAAGTTATCAATGAAGACTTATTTTTGAAAATTCGCGCGAATGGTAATTGTATAACGAATTCACACCCACGGTATCAACAATCTTAGTAAGTCAATTGAAATACTGTAGAGACTTCGTACAGTGTATCATGAAGAGGACGGTTCGTAGAGCTGAAGACTAATTATGGAACGAAGAAGTGTCGATAATCCAACGTATTTAATGTAAATGAACAAATCGCCAGAAAAACCCCTGCAATTCCGTGACATCCTGACTTCGTTTCATTCTGTTCACAATATTTAGCAAATACAGTGCATTATACCCTAAAACCATAATTAGCGACATGAGCTGTTATCATAATTAGCGTCAAGAGTCATTTGAAATAAAAGTAGAACTTCAAAGGAACAAGCAGAAATTTCGATTTAAATTAATTGACAGGATGCTTAACTTGGAAGCAAAGATTCATTTGCCCAATTAGTCCTTCACTTCCTTTCATAACACATCAAGCTACATTTTTATTGGTTTTCTCTTTCCTGTGTCAAAAAAAATAATTGCCGGAAAGCCTCTCCGAGTTATGGATCTTCAAAGATGAAAGTCGTCGAGTTTTGGAGGTTCTCAATGCATTTTTTCTGAGGGAATGCAGAGATTTTTAAAAATTTCTGCATCGATATTCTCCTATTGTCTATTGATTTTCTTGATGGCGAGAAATTCGAACGGCTTCTATTGTTTATGATTTGAAACTACTGTATTCTTCTGTATCGCATAACAGCAAGGATCAAAACATCAATTAACGCGTGCTATTGCTAATTATTATTTTGTGCTCCCTCGTGAAGTTGTTCTTCTGAAGAACAGGTTTTGATTTTCTCACGTTCGTGAATCCGGCATTTATTCAGGGATGGAAAGAAGTTGTGTAAGAAGCACAAAGTGGACCCGAGTCCAACCATAATGAAGCACTACAAGGATGGCGATTTCCACAAAGATTACGATCGAAAGGAAAATGTCCAATCTCTGACAAACTTCCTGAGAGACCCGACCGGTGACATCCCATGGGAAGAAGATACTGCTGCTGAAGACGTCGTTCACGTGACGGATCCCTTGGTGAGTATACTGTGTATTCATTTCCCAAAAAATTCTATCCATGACGATTTTATTCCTTTTTTTGTTGTGGCTCTCCTAGAATCTGAGTAAGCTGATGAAGCCAGGGTCCAAGCCAATGATGTTGATGGCTTACGCACCTTGGTGCAAGTTTTGCAAGATAATGAAGCCTGATTACGCGGCTGCGGCGACGGAGTTGAAGGGATTTGCCGTTTTGGCCGCGATTGACGTCACGCGTCCAGAAACTTCGATTGTTTCCAAGTTTTTGAACGTCACCGGGTTTCCAACTCTTTTCTATTTCGAGTGAGTGTTCTGGTGCTGGGTACTGTACTGTGTTTCTTTACTTTCATTGAGCTTTTTTTCAGTTTACTGTATGTGCACGATTTGATCCAAAAATGATGAAGCGTCTCGTAGTTTATCAGATGCGATTGTGATACAAAGTTTTTCATTGAAATCTTAATAACAGTGAGACTCCCAGATGTGGATGTAATTGGTGCATCAAGAGTGTCCCTAAGTTGAGTCTTGTTTTCCCATAAACTATATAATTTTTCATTGGTGTTTCATGGAAGAAATATTCTTCAGAATTCCATGAAAAAAGATTGTCTGCAGCTTGAATTTGATTCAGAGAATATCTTTTCAATCAATAAGAACATTTGGATCATTGAATAGTGTACTTCTGTACAGTACATTGAAATGTTGACATTTGTAAAAATAACATTCAAGTCACAAAGAGAGAAGAAAGTCCCTGTATGCTTTCAGGTAATTTTTTTAAATTAGCTGAATGGGAAATACTGAAGATTTTTTCTTGCATAGATTTTAGGGTTGGAAATATCTGTTTCTTGCAATTAAGCCTAATAAAAGTCAGTTTCCTAAAATTTATTGGCAATTTTATCAGGCTATGTCTGCATGTCAAGGAGTCCCCATGTGGGGGTCTCACTGTACTTGAAAATTGTTTATTTTATGCGATTGAACAAGTTGATATTTATATGTGATCCCTGATGCACTGAGCGCAAGTACAAGATTACTGGTGGACCTAAAACAAGTGACATGCCAGAGTCTAAGTTAAATACCTTCTGAAGTCGAAGTTTTGCAAGTCCCTGTCTAAATTCCATAAAAAATAATGCATTAAAAACCTCCCCAACTTGAATGCTTTCCACTTCAAACCTATAAAGATTAATTTTTCTGATGGTATCTTATTTCATCAGACAAAAATGATAAGATAAAAGCAATACAAATTTAACTACATGTGTTTTGACAATGAAAGACTGATTGGTGTCCAAAAATGATGGAGGTCTCGTAATTTATCGGACATGTTTGTGGTTCGAGGTTGTTTTCAGTTCGTTATTGAAATCACTTGATTACTTGAAAATTGTTCCTGGCGTTCACAGAAAGAAGTGATGGTTCGTAATTTCTTATCCTTGGCGAAATTTGTCTCTTTTTGTGCGAAATGCGTCTTCTATCCTAAACACGATGCGTCGAATGATTTCAAGGATTAGGTTCGCTGGTTTTCGTTTTGTTTATGAGAGATCCCATCTTATTGAACGTGATTCAATGAATCAAGGAAATCTCTGGAAAAGTCGAAGTTGAATATCTTTCTACGTCGAATTGTTTGTCAAGTTCATGTCGGAAATTTTTTGTTTTGTTGAAACAATGCATTCAATAACTTGAAGGCTTTGCTACTCAAACGTAATAAGTTAAATTTTCTGACGGCTTTTTGGGTGTTGATATTTTATTGACACGAGAGAAAGATGAACAACAAAAATTTAACTTGATGCGTTTTCAATGGAAGTGAAAGGCTGATTGGGTGAACTGACCAATGTCTCCAAGTTTAGCCTCCATTCAACTCATTTAATAAGTAATTTGAGGCCAGGAATATCATCAATCACAATTTTCTGTTATTCTTCTGTTTTCCACCCCAACACAAATTCTTGTGTTTCCCGACCTCGAAACCTCCCTATTTAGAATTTTTGGCTCAACGAGAAAATACCGTGTGCCCGAAAATCCTGCAACGTGAATTCATTTCATCAGAAAAATCCTCTTTTGATCAGTAAAATAGGTGATGGTGCGTAGACAAATTCTAAATTATTGTAAACAAGAAAAAATGGAAACCCGAATGCAAATACACCGTGGAAGCAAAAATGTCGAGAGTACGAAATTTCGAAAATTTGTCCCCTGTTATGGTTTTTTCCTGCACCCACATTTTTTGTATCTGGTCCCTTGAAGTTCAACTTGGAGAAGTGAGAGACTATACTGTAATCCCTTTCTTGCCCTCTCCCGCTTTCTCTACAGGAATGGAGAAGTGAAGCAGAGGTACGAAGGCGAGAACAAAAAGGACGACATCGTGAGTTTCATGCGGAACCCCGTCGCCCCGCCGCCGAAGCCAGTGGAGAAGCCGTGGGCAGAGGAAACAGAACACGTGATTCACTTGACGGAGGCGGACTTTGACGTCGAACTCGCCAAACACCGGTCTGCCCTAGTGTTATTCTATGCCCCGTGGTGCGGACACTGCAAACGGATCAAGCCGGAATGGGAGACGGCTGCCGGAGAGCTGAAGACGGCCGGCGTGGACGGCATTTTAGCCGCCGTCGACGTTACCAAGCACAAGAGTCTCGGGGAACGGTTCGGAGTGACTGGGTACCCCACGTTGAAGTATTTTTCTTTGGGAGAACTGCAGTTTGATGCTGGTGACGTTCCGAATTCCCGCAAGTCGGAGGTGTGCTTTTTCGATTCCCTTTATTTTTTCTACCTTAGCTGTGGAGAAGTTATTACAGTTGGGCACCGGCATACGGACGATTCGACTTGGACTTGGGGACGCTTAAAACTCCAAAAAATATCCTCCGACATTGAGAAAAAATGTCTCGAGATACGGACAGTGAACAAACATTTCTAGACGAACAGAAAACTTTCATTTATTCACAATTTTGATGCAGTATCTCTTGAAAAAATGGAACAATTTACATTCACAAAAATCAACAATGAATTTTATTATAAATTCAATGTAATTCATGATCGAAAGCAGGGTAATTTTTGCTTCCTTTCCTCAGAATTGTTCCTATCATCTGAGCGGAGCATAGCAAAACTTTTATTCGTTCTTTGCTTGTTGGGGACTTTTTCATGCCACAAGATCAGATTTTGTGCGGTTTCCTTTTGCACTACTATTTTCTGTACTGTACTGTATCTTGAAGTTGAGAAAAGTTATTTCATTCAATTTTTGGGGGCTTTACATATTTTCCAATTGAAGTCAATATGACGTGTGGATGTTTCCTCGCAGGAACAAGGTCCAAGCACCAATTACGTCCGCATCCTGGGGCCCCACTGTACATCTGTACTTTTAGTTTTTTTTCTTTTATTTTAATTGAAACACGCGCAGAAAGTATGCGAAAACTCGGTGGTGGTGATGGTTTTACAAAGCCTCGAAATTACTACAAGTTAGAAAACTGCAAGAAGTACCAATTGTTTTTCTCTGATCATCCATAATTTGTGATTTGACATATTTTTTCTAGTACTGTACCATGTACACCTTTTTTCTCAAAATTGATAGGAAGAAGGAGGGAGTGTTTTGTATGTGTTTCCAACATTTTCAAGAAGTTTAAAAATTTTATGGGCGCGTTGTACAGTAATGGATTCTCATGTGCAAATTTGAACCAATTTTATTTGAAATTTTTTTATGAAAGAAATTGAAAATTAAATCAATTTAGGTTCGATTCATGTCGATGTTGAAATTCTGGTCTGTCTCATTTTTTAAATATTTCAGTTTGAGAGTCGCTAAGAATGAGGAGCGCATGTTTGTTGGATTGGAGTTTCTCAAAAATTGTATGCACAAAAAATCTGGGTCCGTGTCTTCCTTGAGTAAATTCAGTGCTTCGATATTCCGATGAAAACCGCAAAAAAAAGGTTGTTCGAAGAATCTTAAGTATGATCCCGTCTTGTGTTCTTGATTCAGCTGTGCTTTCGTTTAAAATGTCCTTTCGTGTTCATCATTCACGTGACTTCTTATTTTCAGGGTATTGTGGAGTTCATGAAAGATCCGAAAGAACCCCCCTTGCCGCCGCCACCGGAACTGCCGTGGAGTGAGTCGGGAGGCGACGTCGTGCACTTGACGGAGGAAACCTTCCGGACGTTTCTGCGAAAGAAGAAGCACGTCATTCTCATGTTCTACGCTCCATGTGAGTCCCATTGTCGAATCATCATCAAATCTTCACGTAAAAGATGACATGACACGAGCCGAGATGAAACGGTGTACCGGAAATTATCACTCGGCTGTAGTTCGTATGATTGAGTGCGATTCGGAATTTTTAACCTGATTCACGGAGATTGGGGTTTGAAAAAGAAGATGCTTTTTCAACAAATCAAAAAATGAAAAAAAATACTCTGAAGATGCTTTTTCAACAAATCAAAGAATGAAAAAAAATTGACGTTTGTTCTGTACAAGTTTTATGTTTCAAAAGTGGCTTGACAGTAGAAAAAGGTTGAATTTGAGTTTCCGAGGAGAGGAGTTGTCTATACAGTAAAATCTTGTTGTAGTTAATTTTTCTGTGTAGCTTACTTTTCACAGCACCCTTCCAGAATAAAGAGATTGGTGCAAATGATGGAATGCATGTTCGAAGCTATTTTTTCAGAAGATCACTGTTAAGCTGTTTGAACAATGATAAAAAATCTGAGGATGTCATAAAAGCAATAAGATCTAATTGATCATAGGCAGGGCTCGTGTGAACATTTTTTCCACTCATAAATTTTGAAAATCTTATTCTAACAAATTATTCAGTATAACAAAGTCTTTCATGATTTTTTCTTGCATTAAATGACTCGAATTTTCAAACGCATTGTTGGCTGATGAGAGTCGTCTGCTTGACGTGTTCCTTCCGAACTTAATTACTGTGTACTGTACATTTACATTGTGGGTGAACGGAATTTTGTTTTGTTGCGATATTTTTGTCAACAATCTTCCAAATTTTGACAGGGTGTGGGCATTGTAAAGCAACGAAGCCGAGTTTCGAAGAAGCTGCTACGCATTTTGCTGAGAATCCCAAGGTTGCTTTCGCAGCAGTGGATTGCACTGAACAGGGAAAGTTGTGTAGTCAACAGGGTGTCACCGGTTACCCGACGCTCAAGTATTTCAGCTACTTCGACAAGGAGCAGCAGAATTATCGCGAAGGACGAGATGTGAATGATTTTCTGAATAATTGTTCTTTTATCTCATGATTCTGAAGAGTACTTGCTTTGTTACACGAGGGGTATAACACATTTTCTCGGAATAGAAATTTAACCGGCGTAAAATTTGAGCTGAAAAAAGGATTATTGTTCAGAAGAATATATTTTTTGCCACGAGAAAAAAATTTCAACCCTTTTTAAAATTGCAATTGACATAATTTTTAGAAAAATGATGCGAAAGTAACCCTGGTAGTTTTTTGCTCTTCACTCAAAATATGAGGAGCCCATTTCGCAGACTTCTTGGTAAACCACAGCTTTTCATTCAGAATTGGCATCAATTGCAAGGGTTGCTTCCAGGTCTTTTGTTGGTGATGCAGCCGTTTTCATTCACAACCGCCACATTCCCATTCCAAGTGGCGGCTGTTGATGGCAACCCTTGGAATTATTAAAGCCATGTAAATTTTAAAAATTCTGAAAGGAAAGCTGGGGCTTTCCATAAAAATCGGCGAAATGGGCCCCTCATCTTTCGAGTGAAGAGCAGAAAAGGGCCGGGGTTACTTTCGCAAAAATTGTTTGAAAAATATGTCAAAAATGACTTATTTTTTTTCTATTGGCTCAAAGAGTGTTTTTTCTGAACAATAATTGTTTTTTTCAGCTCAGTATTATGCAGGTTCAATTTATATTCCGAGAACATTTGTTAGACCTCTCGTACGTGCGACTGCGGTATCAAGCTTGAAACTTTTATGTTTGAATTGTTCTGGCGGGAAAAAAATCAGGATTTTTGTTCTTGTGTAGAAGATGTCGAGATTTCAAAGTCATACGGACGTTATTCTCTGAGAAATGAAATTTTCGAGTATGATTCGTTTTCATCGTTTCAACTAACACATTGGAGTTCCCAAAGATGTTAATCCCTCCCTCGTTAGCTTTTTACCTTTTTGATTGATGAAATACTATACTCGGTTTTTTTTTTTTTTTTTAGACGAAGAGCTTCATCGCATTTATGGAAGGTCTTCTGGGAATCCGACCTGCTGCTGGTCAGGCGAAAAAGGAAGATAAAGACAAATTCGAATGGAAATCAGTTCCTGGAGGCGAGCATGTGAAAGTGTTGAGCCAAGACAACTTCGAGGAGTCGTTGAAGTCTTCCGAAGGAACTTTGGTCATGTATTTCGCTCCATGTGAGTCTCATTTTTGATTCAATGCTGCTGTTTTTTCCATCCTGACATCGAATTGTCGTATTCGAAAAAAAAATTGAGATAAAAATTACGTTAAATTATTTTTTCATGGTGTATCACATTCTCTTTGTGTCTCTAACCTAGGGTGCGGACATTGCAAAGCCATGAAGTCGGACTACGCGGCAGCGGCAGCAGCTCTTCACGCCGCCGGCAACAAGAAAACCTTTTTGGCCTCCGTGGACTGCACCCAAGAGCAAGACCTGATGAAGAAGGCCAACGTCCAGGGTTTCCCGACATTAAAGTTCTACAAGGGCTCGGAGCTGGCATTCGAGTACGACGGCGGCAGGTCCAAAGAAGACTTGCTGGCCTTTGCACTGGACCCGAAACCGCAACAACGTCGGCCTGCCGTGGCGGATCAGCCGCCGGCGAATATTGGCTTTGATTGGGCGTCTCTCCCTGGCGGCTCTGAAGTATTGGTGCTGACGAAAGAGAACTTTGGAGACGCCTTGCAGAGCGTTGATGCGGCCTTGGTCATGTTCTATGCTCCATGTAAGGCGTGCATGTTTCTTTCTTGGGACTTTTTAGGACCACATGTAGTCCAGGGCCACATTGCAGAGACGGAAAGTACTTTCGGGCCAGAAGAGACAATTTTTGAGGTTGCAAAGTGTTGTCTGTTTATATTGAAGAAGCGTGTCGAATTTAATTCACTAATTTGCGTCGAATCGAAAGCATATCCTTTTAAAATTGTTGATGGGCGAAACAACATTTTTAGTTTTAAAATTTATATTTAATATATATTTGGAATAGTGGTGCTGCCATTTTGGCCCGCAAGGGCACTCCACCCCTGCAATGTGGCACTTTGTCCACGTCTGATTCGGGCAGCACTGTTGAATGAAGAGTCCACATTTATTTCCCGAGCAGTTTTTTCATCGTGTAAAAATACTGTACTTCATTCCTAGTGCCCCATTTAAATTTTCTGTTTTACTGATTCAAATGAATGTGCATCACCTGTACTGTATCCAAATGTTTAGGGTGCGGACATTGCAAGGCTATGAAAGAAGCGTTCGCCCTGGCTGCGGCGGAAGTGAAAACTGGCTCAAAAAGCGGTGAAAAGCTGGCCATGGCAGCGGTGGATTGCACTGTCGATCGGGATTTGGCACAAACTTACGGCATTCGAGGCTTCCCCACGCTCAAGCTCTTCAAGAAGGGAAAATTCGCGTCAGATTACAGTGGCTCTCGGTCCAAAGACGCCCTGGCATCGTTTCTGCTCAACCCTGCAGAGTTTCAGAGGAAGCAAGACGAGGAGGACGAACGGAGAGCCAAGGAGAACGAGTTTGACTGGAAAAAGATCCCCGGGGGAGAAAATGTGCTCGTGTTGAACAAGGATAACTTTGTCGAGAGTTTGGAGCCGGTCGAAGCTGCTCTGGTCATGTACTATGCTCCTTGTGAGTCTGACTGCGTGCATCTCCTCCCTCTTCTGTCTCTACAGTTGAATCTCTCTCAGTCGAATTCAAAGCGACCAGCAAACAAATTCGGGTTACGGAGGTTTCAAGTTAAGGAAACTAGCATTTTTATTGTGGGAAAGACGGAAAGACTAGTTCAAAGATGAACAAAATCACGTGCACCTTTTTCAAGTTCATGAGGGAAAAATGGGGAGCACATCATATTTGGGTATACAATTTTCAAAACATAGAAGTCTAGGTGTGCATTATACGTAATCATAATGGGACATTTTCAAGCAGGTTCAGCTAGAGAATTCATTTTAATGTTAAGAATTGAAAATCAGTTTTATTCACATTTTGTTTGTGTCCAAATTCAAATTTTGGTTTTCTTATCTTTGAAAGAGTGCAGTTCTTGAATCATGGAAAATGGGGTGCACTTCTGTGATACAATTGCATGAAAAAAAAAAATTTTAACTGAAAAAACCCTGGTGGGTTTTCTTCCTGAAAGGCATATGGTACTGAAGTAAATTGGGTACAGCACAGTTGAACCTCAGTAAGTCAAATTTCTTGAGACCAGGAAAATAATTCAACTTGAAGAGGTTTTGATTTTTGGAAGTTTCCAGGTAAAGAAACGAACACTTGTTGTGAGGAGAGGTGAAAAAAGTGTGGGAATTGTAAATGAGGATATTTTGGGCCTGAACTTGCTCCTTAATGAGTTTGCCCTTTACTGAACTAGGAGGCAGGGGTTCATCTTCTCTCTTGGTCTTTCACTTCCTTTCAAAATGCATCGAATCACTTGTTTTAATGATTTTCTCTCTAATATTTCACAGAAATGATAACTAGAAGGCCTCAGAAAATTTGACTTACAAAGGTTTTGGAGAAAAACACTGAGTCTGAGAGGTTTTTTAATGCATTGATTCCAAGGGAATTCAGACAGGGACTTGAAAAAAATTCGATTTGACTCATTGAGGTTCACCTGATGCATTGTGATTAGGAATTTGAGTGACATCTACCTTTGATTTCCGGAAGCAAGGTTGGGGTAGATAACTGGTTGCTATTTTGTTTCATTTGGCCAAGCTTTCTTGGAACATTTGGGAAAAACTCAATTTCGGTTGCACATTATCAATCAAACTGAGTTTAACCGTGATAATCTTGATGTTTTTTCAGGGTGTGGTCACTGCAAGTCCATGAAGAACGACTACGCATTAGCAGCAGAGTCCATCAAAAAAGACGGCATTGACACTTTCCGATTCGCAGCCGTGGATTGCACGGTTGAGACGGCATTGGCAGAGTCCGCAGGCGTCAGAAGCTTCCCTACCTTGAAGTATTATTCCAAGGGCAAGTTCGTGTCGGATTATCGTCGGGGCAGGAAGCGAGACGACCTCGTTTCATTTTCGAAATCTCCTCCGAGTCCGGATAGTAATCAGGAAGACTTTTGGAAAAACGTGCCTGGAGAGGCTCAGGTGCTGAAGCTCAACGGAGAAGGGTTTCATACTGAGTTGAAGAAGCACGAAGGTGCCCTTGTGATGTTCTATTCGCCTGGTGAGGATCTGAAAACCCTCGTCTTGTATTCTCGACCCCGATTGTTGGGGGTACAGTATTATCAGCAATAATCTTTTTTTACGAACCCGCGCTCCCCTCGACCTTCGATGATTCGTATTTCATCCTTTTTCTTCGGCTACGTGTTAAACCAATTTCCGAATATTCTTTTTTATTAAATTTCATCTAGGAAAAATTAGCATTATAAGAAGAAACCTGAATTTACCTGACCTATCGTAAAAACTAAATTTAACAAACCTAACCAAAAGATAAAATTATCCATCCAAACCTAAACTAATTACAAAAAAAGAATCTAACCTAACTGAACCTGAACTAACGAAAAATGAAGTCACTATACCTAAACTATTCACAAATAAAATAACCAAACCTAAACTAACCATAAATAAAGTAACCTAAACTGACCACAAATAAAATAACCAAATCTAAATTACTGAAAATTTAAAACTAAACTAAGCATGAATAAAATGAACTATCTGAATTAGCCAAATAAAGCCAACATAGAGTAACCGAAAAAAATACAATAACATGAACTAACCATAAGTTCAAGTTAGGTTATAACTAAACAAAATAATAATACAGTAACCAAACTTGAACTGAGCACAAATAGATCAACCAAACCTGAACTAACCATAAATAAAATAATCTGCCTGAACTAACCAAAAATAAGAATAACCGAACATAAACTAATCAAACTTGAACTGAACACAAATAAAAATACATTGTATATTGATATAAATTATCAACCTTTTATATTAACCAAACCTGAACTAACCATGAATGAAATAACCTACCTGAATTCACCAAAAATTCAAGTAACGTAACGTAAACTAACTAAAAATAAAAATTACCTAACTTGAACTAACCATAAACAAAGAATCTAGCCCAAAAAGAATCAACCAACTTCTAAGAATTTTATTTCCATGATGAAAAATAAAATAATAGGGTTTTTCTTTCCTACACCTTCGAGACAATATCCACCTCGTTTTCTTTGGCCAAAAACTGTGCTTTAAAAAAGGAAAAGAAAAGCACGCATACCTGGCGACACAGGAATTTCGTGAATTCCTAAAATTGCTCCTTAAAATATGCATGTTTCCGGACACACGTGAACAAAGCATTTAACCTGTTCTCCACTATATTTCATGATGCTTGAACCTGAAGATAGTTGACCCCGAAAAGCAAATACTGAAATGTTGCCGGGTGTTACAATTTTTCAGTGCAAACCCCCTTGTATATTCCTGGAAAGGATTCAGATGACCTTGTTATAAAACTCGTGTTACTTTTTTTCCTTAAATCTGTCCAAGGCTGCAGAAGGTGTGAAGACGCGAAAGCAGCGTTTGCCGGCGCAGCCAAGGACCTCAAGTCCAACGAGATTGACAGGTTCGTGATGGCGTCCGTCGACACCGAAGTGGACGGCCAGCTGGCCCAGCTTCTGCAACTCGCTGGAAAACCGCCGAGTTTCCTCTATTTCCATCACGGGGAGCACTTGGAGGACTATCGTGGGGATCACGAGAGGAAGAAGTTTGTGTCCTTTGCCCTGTCCAAAGTCGGCGACAAGGCCAACAGTGACGGGGCTGACGTTGAAGAGTTGGACTGGCCCGCGTTCCCTGGCGGCTCGAACGTCAAGGTGCTGACGGGGGATAATTTTGAGAAGGAGTTGAAGGCATTGGACGTTGCCCTGGTCTTGTTCAAGGCGCCAGGTGCGGTTTATTTATTTGTTTTTTTTTCATGTATTTATTCATCAATACTGTAATTTGATCACGCCATTCGTGACCCAGAATACAATTTTGAACAAATTAACTTTTGAATGCAATAAAGATTAATTTTTGTGATGGGATGGCCCGAAATTTAGGTCAAATTTAAAACTGTGTTGTCTGTAGAGCAACGGAATAAAAATATACTTCAATAAAAATACCTTCAAATATATTTAGTTACAACATGGGTATTTGTACAATCATACAAACCAAACAATAAAACAAAGAGGTTTGAAGAGAGTCTTGCTAAATTGTTTTGCAAGTCTCTCTGAGGAACTCTAGATCAATTCTGAGGAATTGTCAGGAATGAAGGTATATTTAGACCTTCATGAGAACACATTCTGACAACAGAATCTCATCCCGAATCAGGAACTGCTGGTTCCAAGAACACTTCTAAATTAATATACCGTATATACATTTGAGTGTACATTTAAATACTGTATAAGCATGAAGATATATGCATGGTAGTTCAAAAGAACCATTTCTTCTGAATTATCCATTTAGAATGAAGAACCAGTGAGGGTAGTACGTCATTGTTGTCAAATAGCAAATTGTAAACAAAATAAGCATAAATAGGCATCATGCTTTAATGCAGGTTGACGCAAGTAGAGAGGGAACAAAAAAAAGGAAACAGCTGCAAGGAGCAGAAAACCTTGTAGTTAAGAGATTCTTTCCCATGTAAGGAGAAAGAGGAATAAATCTCAAATCATTTCCTGGGTTACAACTGGTATGCCAAGGAGATTTGTATGCAACAAATTCAATTCAAATTTGCAAGTAGAGATGAACTGTGAGAGGGTGGGTTTTGTTGTAACAGACACTCTATAAAAATGTAATGCAGTTGGGCCCCAAGATGCGGACATAATTTGTGCTTGGACCTTTTCTTTATGTTGGAATGTCTGCATGTTGGATCTTGTTTTCCCCTTGGACTTCAATGGGAATATATTTGTTTGGCTCACATGTTGATCAAAAATTTGGACAAATTCCCAAAATCAATGATGTAATTTTTCTGAACTTCAAGATAAACATAAGAAAATCACATGAAATCAGATCTTTTGGCATGAAAATAATCCCGAAAAGCAAAGAACAATCACAAGTCTTCCTATATTGTGCACAGATGATGGAAAGAAGCGTGATTTCCCCATAGACTTCACTAGAGGACCAATTAATACTGTATGTTCTTGACATTCAAAATACAATTGAAAATTTAATGAAAAATGTTGGACAAATGATCAAATCAGTATGATTTGTTCCAAGAAAATTTGTGGCACTCTAGGAGGGTGGTGCAGTACTGTAAATTAGGGGAGGGGGCAATAAAGTGAGGGTTGAGTGTTATAATCTAAAATTGAGTTTCAGATAGTGCTGGATGCATTTTCATTCTTTTGAGGAATGAGAGTCAATCAATCAAAATATACATCATTGGACGATTGTTGATTGAAATTGTATCATTTCCAGGTACACTGTTGAGAATATCTCTCCACTAAATCTAAAGATGTATGGGTTCAGGGAACTTTGTGGCCACGAACTGGAGGTTTTAACTGTAATTCCCCTTTCCCTCTTCTTGTTTTTTTTTTTTTTTTCAGGCTGCAGACACTGCAGAGCCATGCAACGCGATTACGCCTTCGCTGCTCAAACCGTGAGCGAGCAGAACATTCCTCGAATCGCGCTGGCAGCAGTGGATGCCTCGCTACACCCAAAGGTGGCGGATTCCTTCGGGGTAGAGGGTTTCCCCGCCCTCAAGATATTCCACGGGGGCGTCTTTGTGGACGACTACCATGGCGACAGGACGTACGAACACCTGGTCCGGCTGCTCATTGAAGAGACTGGGAAGGTGAAGCGGGGCAAGGAGGAGCTGTGATTTACAGGGAAAAAGGAAAGAAGAGAAAGCTTGCGTTTTATGCGGGGAGCTTTGTTGTTTTTTGGGGCGTGTGTGACTGACCTGTGAGTGACCATCGAACTTGATGTGGCTGACTTTTTTTTTCATACAAAATTATGTTTTGGTTTCACGTTGTGAGCCTGAGACACTTTGTGACTGATCCAGCTTAGAGATGGTGGGCGGGTATTGATTAATTGATTGATGCTCATCAGTTGGAGTGAAATGGCTGAGTTTTCCATCTCCTTTTATTTTGTATAGGGAGGCTCAAACAGAATAGCTTCACTGTTGCTGAATTTTGAGTTTGACTGTACATCCTCTGTGTCACATTTGCTCCTGTGATGCTGGCATTTCATCTCTTTGAGTATAGGAGTCACTGATATTAGTGTACCTCCTTGTCATCAAGTCTTGGTTTGATTTTTGTGAAGTTTTTACTTGTGGTATTGCTGTTGATGAATGAGGAAACCGCTTTGACTGTGCAGTGGATCCTCAGTTAAGAAACTGAATTGGTTCCAGACAAAAGCTTGTTGATCAAAGTGATATGTTTTTGACATTCAAAATACAATTGAAAATTTTATGAAAAATGTTTTGACAAATGATCAAATCAGTATTAGTAAGGGTAACATCTCCTGTGTGTTTACAGATGTAGGGTTGAATTGAAGTATGACTAATGAAAACAACACTCAGAAAGCTTTGCATTGAGGAAAATGTCAACATGTGAGTGGGATAACTGTCACCAGAAGATGAAATTTTAATTTTAAAATTATGTAACTAAAAAACAAATTCAACCGTTGGAACAGCGGAAAAAGAAAACAAGGAAAATCTGTTCAAAAGTGCCTTTGTCTATGGCTTCTTACAGCTCGATATTGTTTGTTCAATTGATTCTGCTCAAGAAATTGATTGTCCATGGCACACCCTCATTCACTCACTTGATGTTGAACAAACTTGAGGAATGTGTAAGCCTTTGGTCTGCCTGAGAATTTTTTGCATGATTTGTCTATTGGAACTACAATTATATTGTACCTTACAGTGGCATGTCATAATCGAATTTTGAGTTCATATGTTGGAACAAAAATTTGTTGATCGAATTGTGGTTTGTTGACCAATGTATTTTTCTTTGAGGACAAAAGTTGTTTAACTGAGGGTTCACTGTACAATACATACATAGTGTCACAGTTTCTCCCATGATGCCAGCATTTCAGCTCCTTCTATCAAGTATTCGTTTGCTTCATATAAAATTTGCATTCACTTTGGTTACATGCTCAGTTATGCTTATTTTTATTTATCTAAGTTCCAGCAATCCAAAAAACTTGAAATTTCTAAATTCCAAGATGAAGCTAGAAACATTCTGATGAGAGTATCACATGTTTCATAACTCCTGCGTTTATGCTAAATCTTGTAAACATGAAGATGAGCATATTTATTTGTTGCTGATTTTTAATGATGCACAAGTTGGATCTTTTAATTTTTGTGCCAATTATTTGAAAATTCTCATGGCCCGTGCAGAAATTCGTGCGAGATTTATTGCGTGTTGAATTTTCCTTGCATGGATTCGCAGATTTGACGGTCACACTTGTTTCGGTTGGTCATTCATTGGTGGTCACATGCCTCAACAACGCCCTGTTTTGTTGATCCGCCGCGGAGGCATTTTTTCCGAACGAGTCTTCCCCAATTTTGTTGGCGGGCTCGTGAATCCGCATAACGAATTTAAATCAAGCGCAACGAGGGACAAAAGTGTGGTTGATTGATTGTTTTGTTTTGTTTTTGTT